ATACATATAGGTGGTCCCAAAGATATGGAAGGTTGATATATGGAGTGGGAAACATTTTAGAATTCCCACCATGAATCTTTGTATTAAAATTTCAGTATTACATAGTTTATCCATCTTTTTGCATGAAAGCTGAACTTGTTCCTTTATTTATTTTAAACACTGCCTATGATCAAAAATCAGGATCTGGGGTTTTAAGCTGAAAATGAATTCCAGATGCCTCCTCCCCTCTCTTGCCACCCCACAGATGTGCCCCATCTGTTGCAAATGTAAAAGGAAAGGGAAACCTGCACAGGGTCCAGCACAGAGTAAGGCAGTAACAGCCTGTGTTTTTAAATGAGGCGGTTGTGATAATTTCACACCCTTGGGCAATGTACTTAAGAACATCACCCTTCCTTTGAAGAAAGCAAAAAATTACAAGATATGTTAAAATTACTCCAAGGGAAGGTTGAGGGTCCGTTGGCGCCCCCAGCAGGAAGATGGAAAAAGGTAATCTCCATGGGACTCCTGGGTGGGAGCAAGACCACGTTGGCCGAGCCTGGAGGGTTTTGCCTCCTAAACCCCACCAAGAGGTGTAGATAGTGGCCATTCACTTCTATGGGAGGGCAAAATTGGGATCTTGCATCAACTAACTCTCTTCCCTCGCCTTTCCAGCGCCCTGCCTCCTATCTGCAGGGAGTCAAGGGGGGTGTTGGCTGGGGGCGATGGGAGGTGGTAGACCCACCACTTTACAAAGACACCAGGTTGGGGAAGGCTGATGGGGAAGTTGGGAATGAGAAGCAAGGGAAGTGGGCTCCCTGGGTTTAAAGGATAACCCTTTTTTCTGGAGCCCGGCACTCGAGATAGAAAATTAACTCCACTTGCCAAAGTCCAGGGCGGAAGGCTCAACCTCTTCTGTCAGCTTCCTGGCCTCCAAAGCACAGGAGTGCGTTCTGTAAGTGGCGTGATGGTATCCGGGAGCTTCAGCCGGTGCAAAACGCGGCAGTGTGGGCAGAGTCCTGCGCACATCACACCTGCTCTGTGAGCTGTGTTAGCTCCCAGTTTGCTTCTGGGTTCAATTTAAGGGGCTGGCGATGACCTGCAAAGCCCTACAAAAGCAGCGGGGTTGCTAAAGGCACCGGAGCGTTCATGGCCAGCCTTCCCCAGTGGTCAGTGTCTTGAGGCAGCAACGTCCAGAAGCTTTAGGCAGTGAGGATTAAAGACAGGTTGCAGGAGGTGGTTGGAGAAGGTGGACGCTGCCTTGAATTCAGGGTTTCTAGAGGGGCAGAAAAGGAGTCATTAGCAGGCTGGCAGTCGGAAGAAGCCGCTTTTCATGCAACAGAGATGTGACTTAGCAAAACTTCACCACAAGTTGATAGTACCAGCTTCTGTCCAGCCTCTGCCCAATGTCAGAACGCCAACACCCTTGCATTTAATAGCCGGAGTGGGATCCTCGAAATTCTCGTTACAGAACTGCCGTCAGAAAGCAGGGAAGTGAGTTTTTGTCCTTTGCCCTGTCGAAACGAAAGAGCTCCCTACTTTTTAGGATTGGCACCCTGGGTTTGCGATAGATGGATTCTCTTCTAGAGACCAGGAGAACGGAGCCAGCTGGGCAGGCGGAGCGGCTGAATTTGTATACAAATAAATATATATATATATATAGAGTATGCGCCTATGGCAAAGCTAATGTTTTGTAAATATGGGGTGGGGTTTTTTTACGTAAAACGATATGGGTGGATTTTGTTTAAAAAATCTAAATGATTAAGCTGAAAGAAAACGTTGCACCAGTGAGGGGTGTTGAGAATATTGCTCAAGAGATGAAACATTAGGCTTAGCCGGTAAGATTGCGACCTGAGCTTGCACCCTTCGGACTGAATTTAAAGGGACTGTCTTCTGAGTAAACCAAGGTTGGACTGATCTGTAAACTGCGTTGGCAGCCCATCTTTGGGCAAGGTAGTACATATTTTCATGGACGGTAATCCAGGAGAGAATGTTCTTTGCGCTTTGGATGGTGAATACAGTCGTGCCATCTCTGGGGGGCATCTTCTGATCATCCCCCAAGCTCCTTTTTTGCTTGGAGAAGGGCCTCCGGAGGACCCACATCTTAGGAAACAGGGAAGTGCAGATACTGTGGTATATCTGCAGTGAGTGATTTTTAAACGCCCCTCTTGGTGTCAAACCTTTTATGTTTTATAAATTAGACTGTAGTTTGTAAGTCAGCGATGTGGGAGAGTAAAAACAAGTGAACCTTCTGTAATTAAAAAAAAAAAAAGAACACGCAAAATTGTAGTTTGCAAAAATGATGCCTTTTATTTTATTTTGTTAAATGATTTGCAATAAACTATGCCGGTCGGCATTTAGAAATGTTGGTTGCGGTCTTGCTTTTCTTCCAGATTAGATAATTTAATTCAGGGAAGGAAAGGTGTGGGGTCTTTCCCAAAGCTGCAGGGGCTCATAAGCCCTTGAAAAGCATTCTTACACGTTTCACTGAGATAAACACGATTAATTCTCCGTGTTGATTGTGAGAGAAAAACGTCAGAGCCCATTGAGGCAATACCTTTAATCAGGTTGGCCAAAGTTCTACGAAGGCACCGTACCCTTTCTAGTTTCCAGAAGACTTAATCACGGGGTTAGAGGAAGGAAGAAGACTGGGGAAATTAAAATGTAACTGACCTTGAAGTCATCTTGGTACATCACGCCAGCTTATCTGTAAGATGGAGGGGTGAGGGTGCTCAGACATGCAAACGGGGCCTTATCAGCCCAAATGTTAGGCCGTGATAAGAGCTAATAAAAATCTTGCTGGGAAAAATCACAGGTAAATGCAATTCTCCATTCCTGAAATTTTTAATTCCCAGCTGTTGGAAATCAAAACCATTTTCATCCAATGGACAGGCTTGGATTCTTTGACTCATGGGAAATAAAAGAGAAGTCAATTGCCATATTTATGCCAACAAAAATAAATCCCTGGTGAGTTTACAGACACAGCCGTTTTGTGCAATTTTGTTGCAACAATACAAAATAGCATGCCATAGCCTTCTACACACACACATGCATACAAACACACACACGTGTGTTTGTATACAAACCCCACACAGAGAGGAGAATATCAATCGCAGTGGAGCCATCTAAGAACGTCCGGTTGCCAAAGGCCCCCAGGCCTGATGACACAACCAGGTCTTGAGGGACCTCCTGAACGACAGCAGGGAAGGGGCGAGCCTCACTTCAGGAGGGAGAATGTTCCACAAAAGGGCCACGGCAAAGAAGGCCCACCTCCTGGGACCCACCAAATGCAAGTCCCTGGCCGATCGAACCCGAGATTGGGGGGGGGGGGCGCTATATAAATTTAATAAATAATGTCAATCCAGAGGAGCACACTGAGGAACGTACACAGAAGAGACCCCCGGGGCCATCAGTCCTTCACCTGTCCAGCCTCCAATGGCCTCTTGACCTTCTGTGGAAGAAGTGAGAGTGAATCATGGTTAGGATTGGGGGCATTTTGTGGGTAAGATGCCTCTCGTTTGTTGGTGGGAGGCCAAGATGGGGAGTCCGAGGGATTTACAGCATCTCAGGTCCAACTTGTGATGGATCCATGGATCTCCAGGGAGAGAGGGGTGGAGAAGGACTCGGGTTCTTGTAGCTGGACTACTGCACATCACTCTGTGTGGGGCTGCCCTTGAAGACCGCCAGGAAACTTCAGCTGGTGCAGGTGCTGTTGGAAATAATGTCAATAGCTGGGAAATAATATGAATAATAAAATAATAATGCCCATAGCTGGGAAATAATATCAATAATAAAATAATGTCTATAGCTGGGAAATAATAATAAAATAATGTCCATAGCTATAATGCTGTAGTTTGATGCATCATTAATTTTTTTCTTTAATTCAAAAGAAGATATACTTAGGCAGGATTAAACTTGACATCTTGATTTGTCAGAAAAGCTTTTAAAAATGCAACAGAATCTGCCAAAGGTCTTCACTTCTTGACTGTCTTGATGAGCCTGTCAGCAAATCCCTGCTTAACAAAAAATCTGCTTAATTGCGGTTTTGTTTCTGAAGTTCTTTCCTTTAGGCTCGAGCACTCTTAGTATGCTCAGAGTCAAGCCACAGTACCGCCTCTCCCCGTCCGGCTGCGGTGAGGCGATCGAGGGCCAGCCCGATCCAACTTCGGCTGTTTCCGCCTCCATCTGCCGGAGGAAGCCGAACTTCCCTACAGGGTAGGAATTACCCGGGAACGAAAATGCTCGAAGGGCTTTTATTGACGAGCAGAAAACGTGGACACTTCCGGGCTCCGTTTGAACGCCGCCTAGAGCGGCTAGGTAGAAGATCCGCTCTGGCCCAAAGTTCTTTGGCCACGGATATTCGGTTGGAAACGGAAGTAGCTGTTGAGACATTTAAATAGGAAAAGGTGAGACATGTCTCCATAGAGATAGAAATTATAGAGGGACAATGTCTATGGTCGGAATCCGGAACTTCGAAGTCTACTTATCACTCTTCCAAGGGCCTGTCCTCAGAAAAGAAGGCATGTGACCTGCGATAAAGCTCAACTCACTGGGGCTTTCTCAATGAACGACGCAGGTGCTGTCGCACTTGGCTACGTTCGCACGACTACCAAGCCACAATCTTCGCCAACCACGCTTAAACGCATCATTTCATGAGACCCGAATCCAAACAATCTGATTCAGTAACCCTGCTTTGCTTGGAGACCGGATGGAACGCCTCGGCATTATGCCTTTCGTTCAGCCAGGTGAATTTGCACCCTGTGGGCATCCAGACGTTTGCTAAGCTACAACTTTAGCGTCCCTTCCCATTGGACATGCTGACTGGGGCTGCAGGGAGTTGTAGTTGCTCCGCCTCCCCTCGTGCCCACACGTTGCCCCTTTGTTTCTGGCATAACGGCTTCCAAGGACTAGACTCTGTGAGGGGCGACTCTAAATTTCATAGGTCTATTTCTGCGGAAGGGCAGAAATGGCTCGCTGGCGTGATGATGTCACACGCACGGGGCGAACGTGACACGTCAGCGCTGCCGCTGGAGCCGGATGTTGCAAGATGGCGGCGGCGGCGGCAGCGGCAGGTGGGGGGGGTGCTGCGGGTGGGGGGGAGGGAGGGAGCGGGGGCCGGGGGTTTGGCGGGGGGGGGGGG